TACTACGACTACTACGACGACTACTACTACTACTACTACTACTACTACTACTACTACTACTACTACTACTACTACGACTACTACTTCTACTACTACTACTACTACTACTACTACTACTACTACTACTACTACTACTACTACTACTACTACTGCTACGACTACTACTCCTACTACTACTACTACTACTACTGCTACTACTACTGCTACTACTAGTGCTGCTGCTACTACGACTACAACTAGTACGATATCATGTATATATATATATATATATATTAAAAACAAAAATTACTCCGACGGAAGAACCCCACATAAGAATCCTCTGGGCGAATCTGGAAAAAGCCATCACCGTCGTCCTCGTGGTTGGTGAGGCGTCCTGGCTGTCTCTTCTGCGTATATTTCCTCTCGCCTTGGCGCGGGCCCCCCTTCCACTCCTTACGTTGTCCCCATCCTCGCCCCCCTGTTTGTTCCGCGCCCCGCCACCTCCTCCCCTTCCTGTTGCATGAGCGCGCATGTCGATGTTCCTCGGCGCCGTCGCCGCCACGGCCAGCACAGGCGCGTTCTCTACTGGTCACGTCGCGCAGCCGTTGGGACAACCCCGCGGGCCAGGCTGTCGGGACAACCCCGCGAGCCGTTGGCGCGCAAGACCAAGCCGTTGGGACAACCCCGCGGGCTTCGAGCGAGGCGCAGCCGCGCTCAGGCGGAAGGCAGCACGAAGCCCAGCTCTGCCGCGAGCTGCTTCGCCTCCGCCCTGGACAAAACCGTTCTCTTGTCGAACTCCAGGAGCGCCTTCCGCAGGGACGCCGGCGGCCCGCACTCCAGGAACTCTCGCGGCGGCGGCCGCAGGATCAGCATGTTCCGCATGCACGTGGCGCGGGAGAACATGACGTAGAGGTGCAGCCACCACTGCTCGTCCGACATGCCCGTGCGGCCAGCGTCCTCGTCTCTCGCGCAGTCGATGGTGACGCCCTTGCGCAGCGTCTGGCCCTGCGACAGCGTGGAGGTCAGGTAGGACGCGTGCGTCAGGGTGAACCCCGAGCGGCGCACGCTGTGCGCCCCCGAGCTCTGCCATGTGAACTCCCTTTCGCTGGGCCTGAACATCAGCAAGCTCCGCGCCCGCGCCTCGGCCTGGCCGTCGTCGTCGGCGCCTTCGGCGCCCTGTCGCAGCACCTCGGCGACCTGAGGAGCCCAAAAACTTCCTTGTTGCATCCAAAGTGTGGCCTGGGAACTGCGTTCTGGCAGCGCGAGAACCCAACATTGACGACAGTTACAGGTTTTGGATGACCTGCTCGGATTACCAACATGATCTGCGGGCCCCATAGGGAGGGGGCTCCCGCCTGAGACTTCCTCGCAGTTCACTCACAGACGAGGCTCCCGCCTGAGACTTCCTCCATATTCAGGCTTGAGGAGCCCAAAAGTGACGACAGTTACAGGGTTCCGATGACCCGCTCGGATTACCAACATGATCTGCGGGCCCCATAGGGAGGGGGCTCCCGCCTGAGACTTCTTCTCAATTCACTCAAAGACGAGGCTCCCGCCAGAGACTTCCTCCAAATTCAGGCTTGACGAGCCCAAAAGTGACGACAGTTACAGGGTTCCGATGACCCGCTCGGATTACCAACATGATCTGCGGGCCCATAGGGAGGGGGCTCCCGCCTGAGACTTCCTCGCAGTTCACTCACAGACGAGGCTCCCGCCTGAGACTTCCTCCATATTCAGGCTTGAGAGCCCAAAAGTGACGACAGTTACAGGGTTCCGATGACCCGCTCGGATTACCAACATGATCTGCGGGCCCCATAGGGAGGGGGCTCCCGCCTGAGACTTCTTCACAATTCACTCAAGACGAGGCTCCCGCCTGAGACTTCCTCCAAATTCAGGCTTGACGAGCCAAAAGTGACGACAGTTACAAGTTCCGATGACCCGCTCGGATTACCAACGTGATCTGCGGGCCCCATAGGGAGGGGGCTCCCGCTTGAGCCTTCCTCAGAATTCACTCACAGACGAGGCTCCCGCCTGAGACTTCCTCCATATTAAGGCTTGAGGAGCCCAAAAGTGACGACAGTTACAGGGTTCCGATGACCCGCTCGGATTACCAACATGATCTGCGGGCCCCATAGGGAGGGAGCTCCCGCCTGAGACTTCCTCCCAATTCACTCACAGACGAGGCTCCCGCCTGAGACTTCCTCCATTTTCAGGCCTGGGGAGCCAAAAGTGACGACAGTTACAGGTTCCGATGACCCGCTCGGATTACCAACATGATCTGCGGGCCCCATAGGGAGGGGGCTCCCGCCTGAGACTTCCTCACACTTTACTCAACGATGATGAGGATGAGGATGATGAGTGGTGGTGAAGATGAGTGGTGAAGAGGATGATGATTGATTGTGGGTGGTGGTGGCGATGATGATGTTTGAATGAGGATGATGCCGATACCGATGATGACGATGATGTTCGTGAGCGTGTGAGAGAGTGCGAGTGATGATGATGTGTGTGTGAATGAGTGCTG